TTTGTTCCCCACCAAACTGAGCTCTGTCGTCCGGGGGCTCAGCAGCTCTCCTTCCCTTTGTCCTCCAGCCTTCCCGCTTTCTGAGCAGAGCTGTTAACTTATGACCTCCCAGACGCTAAGTCGCGCTTGCTGTCGGAACACAGTCCGTCAGGCCCCTCCGCTTTTTGCAAGCCAGACTCAGGGGCTCTGCTTGGCCGGCGAGCCTCCCCTCCGCCCCGGCTCCCTCCCGCCAGTCCGTGGAGCGCACGCCGCCTCGCCGCCCTTCCTACCCTCTTCCGTGGGCCTCTCGTCTGTGCTTGGCTCCGGCGACTCCGTTCTGCTAATCCTCTGGCGGTTTTCTGGGTTATTTAGGCAGGTGTAGGTGGAATCTAAGTGATCAGCAGGACGCGCGGTGAGCCCAGCGTCCTCCTACGCCGCCATCTTCAATGTTTATATTCTTAAGGTCTTCAGGTAAAAATATTTTCTAGATAAGACACTATTTTGTTATATTTGTCAAAGTTCTCTGTCTTCAATCACTTGTGTCAACACTCTTTCCAGCTTAATACTTGTAGGCTGATTTCAGTTTCATATTTTTGCCAAGACCAAAATAAGGAATATGATGTGGTTTCTATAATTCTCTGACATTCGTTTAATCAAATGATGTGAAAATTCTATTCAAAAAGTACATGTGCTGTGTGTTTGTGTGTGGTTATAATTAGTTTGGCTTTGCTTTAATAGCACAGAATTTTCTTAATATTTTAATAAAAACGCTTTTAAATAAGTCATTTCTTTCTCTGCTTCATTGGTAGAGAGAGGTGAAAAGGACTCAAGCTGCATTGTAGCCTTAAGTCCTGTTTACTTTCCTAAGAGTTTTGTGACCTTGTGCAAGTTTAATCTTTTAAATGTCATTTGCCCCAGCTATATATTGAATCCCTTGCAGAGTTGTGCTGAGACTGCTAATGTGTACAAAAGCACCTAGCACACTCTGTGTGCACAAACGTGTACCTTCCCTCTTCCCCAGTTGTTTTTTTTTTTTTTTTTAATTTTTTTTAATGTTTTTTTATTCTTGAAAGAGAGATGGACAGAGAGCAAGGAGGGGAGGGGCAGAGAGAGAGGGAGACAGAAAATCTGAAGCAGGCTCCAGACTCTGAGCTGTCAGCACAGACCCTGATGTGGGGCTTGACCCACGAACCATGAGATCATGACCTGAGCCAAAGTCGGACACTTAACCAACTGAGCCACCCAGGCGCCCCGCCCCTCTTCTCCAGTTGTTATTTTTAATGTGTAGATACACACTCTAAGGATGTTTTTAAGATGTTTCCTGGAGAAGAGGTTGGGGAAGATGGCGGGGTAGGAGGACGCTGGGCTCACCGCCTCCGGCTGATCACTTAGATTCCACCTACACCTGCCTAAATAACCCAGAAAACCACCTGAAGACTAGCAGAATGGATTCTCCAGAGTCAAATGCAGACGAGAGGCCCACGGAAGAGAGGAGGAAAGGTGGAGAGGCGGTGTGTGCTACACAGACCAGCGGGAGGGAGCCGGGGTGGAGGGGCAGCCCGCCGGCAAAGCAGAGCCCCCAAGTGTGGCTTGCAAAAGCAGAGGGGCCGGACAGAGTGTGTTCTGACAGCAAGTGGGACTTGAAATCTGGAAGGTTATAAGCTACCACTCTGCTCGGAGAACGGGAGGGCTGGAGGACAACGGGAGGGAGAGTTGCTGAGCCCCAGACGACAGATCTCAGCTTGGTGGGGAACAAAGGCGCTCACCAGCGCCATCTCCCTCGCCCATCCCCCAGCCAAAATCCCAAAGGGAACCAGTTCCTGTCAGGGAACTTGCTTGCACTGCGCAAACACCCAAGGCTGTGCTTCTGCGGATCCATCCCTCCAGCAGCGGGTCTGACTCACTCGCGGTGCTGCAGGGCCCCTCCCGAATCGGATCACCAAAGGAAAAGCGAAATGAGCCTGCCCCTCCCGCCCCTGTGCACCTTGCCTACCCACCCCCCAGCTGATACGCCAGACCCGCAGCACCACAAGCCTGGCAGTGTGCAAGTAGCCCAGATGGGCCATGCCACCTCACAGTGAATCCTGCCCCTAGGAGAGGGGAAAGAAGGTATACACCAGTCTGACTGTGGCCCCAGCGGTGGGCTGGGGGCAGACATCAGGTCTGACTGTGGCTCCACTCACCAACGCAAGTTATTCAAGACAGCACAGGGGAAGTGCCCTGCAGTTCCACACCACTCCAGGGACTATCCAAAATGACAAAATGGAAGAATTCCCCTCAAAAGAATCTCCAGGAAATAGCAACAGCTAACGAACTGATCAAAAACGATTTAAATAGTATAACAGAAAGTGAATTTAGAATAATAGTCGTAAAATTAATCGCTGGGCTTGAAAACAGTATAGAGGACAGCAGAGACTCTATTGCTACAGAGATC